CAAACACTTTGAACTCCAAAAATTTATTAAAGACCTCACTCTTGTAGTGTAAAGGAAACAACCAAGTAAAACCACTGAAATCATCAACAAAAAGAACATAATAGCTATATTGAGATTGATCTTGAGTAAAAGGGCCCCAAACATCACTATGAATGAGGGCAAGAGGTTGATTAACAACAGAAGAAGATAAGGTAAAAGGTAAACGATGACTTTTAGCTACACAACAGTGAGAACAAAGTCCATTATTATCCTTATTACAAACAATAGGAACAGACTTAGTGATAGTATTGAACTTAGCAGTTGATGGATGACCTAATCTCTTATGCCACAAAGTAGAAGAGATGCTTTGAGTAACATAAGCCTGTGGAGGAGAGGAAAACTGATAAAGACCATTAGAGTGAAAACCTCGAGAAAGCACTACCTTCGAAGTTTTGTCCTGAACAACAAAGGAATTTTGATCAAAAGTGATGGTACAATTATTATCCTGAGTGAGTTGATGAACAAAAATAAGATTGGAAGAAATTTGTGGAACATGAAGTAAGTTATTCAATTGAAAACGAAAAGTAGGAGTAGGAAGAATACCAGCTCCACTATGGTGAATAGGAAGAGAGTCTCTATTTCCTACCACAACCTGATCAGGACCTTGATAAGGTTGATGCAGCTGCATATGTTGCAAGTCATTAGTAATGTGAGTGGTAGCAGCTGAATCAAGATACCAAGGAGAAGCATTAGACGAAGCAGAAGAACTAGGACCTGCAGCAGAAAAGGCTCGAGGAGCTGTAGTAGATGGAGAAGAAACACCAGGATGGAAAGAAGACATAGAGTTGTTTCCTTGAGTTGGTGAACCAGAAACAGAACCATATGAAGGTGGATAAGCTGGTATATAAACTGGATTCATGGCTGGTGTATAAGCTGGATTCATACGATTACGACATTCAAGAGCTATGTGATTATTTTTGCCACAGATTTGGCAAACAAGACCTGAACCACGACGACCTCTATAGTGAGAAAAATTTGTATAGCGACCTCTGCCCCGAGAATTGGAATGATTTCCTCTATAAGTAGAAAAATTGGATCGGTTTGGGCCTGACTGAAAATGTTGTAAACCTTGAGTAAAAGGATATGGTGAAGATAGAGTTTGAGGGGCAGAAGACATTCCTTGAACTACAAAAAAAGCAACATTGGGAGAAGAGTGTAGATTGATCTTCTCAATATGAATTGCCTCAGAACACAACAAAGAGGACACCTCTTCCATGGTTACAGCACCAGATCTGGCTCGAATAGCTGTTTTGAATGAGTTATACTCATCAGGAAGACCATTCAAGACAAGAAGAATAAGATCTTCATCATCAATAGGTGTAGTGACCAATGCAATTTGATTTGAAATGTCCTTGAACTGTTGCAGATAAGCCTCCATAGGTTGAGATTTCTTTGAAAGTGATTGAAGTTTGTTCTTGAGTTGATGAATATGCGAACGTGATAAAGCAGTATACCTCTTTTCTAAAGCCTGCCACACTTCACGACTATGCTGCAGATGCAATATGGAAGAAAAAACTGGTGGTGACAAGGTTGCAGTTAAACAGCCCAGAAGATGTGCATCAACAATCTTCCATTTGCTGAATTCTGGATTGGCTATTGACATGTTCTATGCATCCAGAATTGTAGAAGAAGGACAATCAACTGATCCATCAAGATAGCCAAAGAATTCTGTAGCTCTAAACAGATTCTGAACTTGGCTTTTCCAAATTAGATAATTGGATTAGTCAAGTTTGACAGTGACTAATGAATTGAGATTGAAAAGAAGAAGAGAAAGATTTGGCATTGAAGATAACGCCATTGTTGAATGCTCGTTAGAGCTCTAGATGCTCTGATACCATGAAAGAAGACTAAATTCTTGTTATTTTACTCAACTTAGTATTACATTATATACAATTCACTTCAGTTGTAACTAATAACAAACTAACCAATCTTGTAACAAACTAACTGCATACAAGTTGATATAACCAACTAATTGTGGACTGCTGCTGCTCGTGTACTTTGTGATGAGTTGAACTCTGCTTTTGGACTGCTTGGACTGTTGTAATGTGAGTTGGACGGCTTGGACTGTTGTGATGTGAGTTAAACTCTTCATCAGCCCCCCTCAAGCTGAATGGGGCAGCAGTCACCAGAAGCTTGGATTGAAGATAATGAAACCGAGAGACAGGCAATGGTTTAGTGAAGATATCAGCAATCTGCTCAGAGGAAGGAACATGGCGAATTTGAAGCTTCTTTTGAAGAACCTTTTCACGAACAAAATGATAATCGATTTCAATATGTTTGGTCCAGGCATGAAAAACAAGATTAGAAGTAAGGGAAATAGCAGAGAGATTGTCACACCAAAGAGTAGGAATAGCGGGAGAGGACAAGAACATTTCAGTGAGAAGCATTTGAACCCAAGAAGTTTCAGCTGCAGCCTGTGCTAAGGACCGGTACTCGGCCTCAGTAGAAGACCGAGCAACAGTGGATTGTTTCTTAGCTTGCCAAGAAATCAGATTGGAACCCAGAAAAACACAGAAACCAGAAATAGATCGACGATCAGATGGATCACCAGCCCAGTCTGCATCAGAGAAGATATGCAGATCAAAAGAGCCAGGACTGAAATTAAGGCCAAAATGAAGAGTGCCTTTAAGATACCGAAGGATCCGTTTAACTGCTGCAAAATCTGAGACAGTAGGCAGATGCATATGTTGACAAGCTAGATTGACAGCAATGGAAAGATCAGGACGGGTAAGAGTAAGGTATTAAAGAGCGCCCACAATACTGTGATAGAGAGAAGGGTTATGAAAAGGCAAGGAGGCATCAGATGAAGAAAAGGGAGGTTTGAGAGACAAAGGAGAGGAGGAAGGCTTGCATTCAGCAAGACCAGCTTTGACTAAAATATCAGAGGCATATTTTTGTTGAGACAAAAACAAACCAATAGAAGAGTTCAACTCACATCACAACAGTCCAAGCCGTCCAACTCACATTACAACAGTCCAAGCAGTCCAAAAGCAGAGTTCAACTCATCACAAAGTACACGAGCAGCAGCAGTCCACAATTAGTTAGTTATATCAAATTGTATGCAGTTAGTTTGTTACAAGATTGGTTATATCAACTTGTATGCAGTTAGTTTGTTACAAGATTGGTTAGTTTGTTATTAGTTACAACTGAAGTGAATTGTATATAATGTAATAGTAAGTTGAGTAAAATAACAAGAATTTAGTCTTCTTTCATAGATCACTATAATCTTAATTCAATGTTACCCCTGCTAAGTTGAAATTCGGATTCCGCCACTGACTGAGCCCCATCTTTTTAGTAAGCGTGGGTGTAGGTCAACTAACACAGAAAATTCAGTTCAATTGTCTTTAGGTTCCGAACTCCATAAGGGGAAGGAGATTTGACCACCCTGATTTTCACTTTGCAATGGATCTTCAGGTGCACCAAATACCTAGAGATCACCCTTTCAAAAGGGAATCCGGATCCTCGGCCGCCCTTCTCGGCGGCCGTTCCCAGCAGCCCCCCAAAACGACGTCGTTTTGGGGGTTTTTTCGATTTTTTTTTTTTTTTTTTCGCAGAACCAGAGGGGAGGGGAAGAAGAGAGAGAGGAAGGGGAGGGGGTCCGGATTCGCCGAAGACTCGCCGTCGCAGGTCGTCGAGCTCGCCAGCCGTTCGATCGTCGCCTCGCCTCCGCCTCCGCCTCCTCCTCCTCCTCCCCCAGTGATTATGGCCCCCTCCAGTCCGGCCCACCGGCGGCTCCCTCTTCTTCTCCCTTCCTCTCTCTCTTCTTCCCCTCCCCTCCCCCTCTCTCTCTTCTTCCCCTCCCCTCCCCTCTGGTTCTGCTCGAACGAGGAAGAAGAAAGAAAAAAAAAAATCAGAAAAACCCCCAAAACGACGTTTTGGGGGGCTGCTGGGACGGCCGCCGAGAAAGGCGGCCAAGAATCCGGACTCTTCAAAAGGCACAAATGGCGTACGACTAGAAAAAGGGCTGACAATAACTTTTTTAACTAGAGCCACCTTGTTCGGCAAATGGTAAAAGGCCGCATTTTTTTTGAACTTGCTTCAATGAAAATTTTTTAAAAAATTTAGTATTAACATTTTTTATTTTTCCAATCTTTCTATTCTAGAAGGATTTAAAAGTAAAAAATTTAAAAAGAGTTTATTGAAGACCAATATATATTCAAACAGAATTTTACATTAAAAAAATAATAATTTTGACATTTGCCAAGCACGCCAATTTTTTTTTATCAACTTTTATCTTTAAAATAAGAAGAAAAAAAAAATACTGAAAAAGTATTTGTCAAACCAGTCATGATGAAGAATAACAAATGAGAAACAGACAACCAAAAAGAAAGAACGGTAATTATAAATACATTTTTGAGATTTATTTAAAAGACGAATTATTATTTATAGTTTAAAAATTATAAATATTTTTTTGTCAAAAAATTTTATTTATCAAAATTAATCAAAAAAATAAAATTGTTAATTGTTGTTCTGTATAATAATAAAATTACCTAAATTATTAGTTAAAATAAAATTTTAACATCATTAAAAACTATTAATTAATTTGATGTTTTATTAATAAAATAAGTTATTTGTTATGAAATTAAAAATCTTAGGGACGGGATATAATTTTCACGACCACATAGGACAATTTATATTTTAAACAAATCTATTTGTAATTTATCTTTAAAAGAAATAGAAAAAGAAAGAAGCTTATTATTGTTTCCTGAGCCTTACTTATTTCGATTGCTTGGTCTCGCTGGAAACTCCTTTCTTATTATTTTTCTTAATAGAGAAAAGGCATTGAAGTAAGAAAGAAAATATACGTAGAAAAAGAAAGTCACGCATCTTTAACTAAGCTTGTCAACGGACTTGGTGAAAATTCAATCACAAAACCTGATTTTGTTAGAGAGAAATCCAATCCAATAATCTAATTATCCAAATTCATATTCAATCACTAAATGGATCAGATATGTAAGAATTCAACCTAAAACAATTGATCGTCTGATCTGATCTTAACCGATTATAACATTTTGCTTTGCATCATAATTGTAGTTTTGGAGTTTAAATTTCGCAACTCATCAAATCAAATGACTACCTTTACAAAAATATGTACAAGCGTACAAATTGTAAATTTGAAATGCCTCCATACACATATATATATATGTCCATCTGTATGAACAAAATCACTCAAATTGACTTCAAAACTAAGAAATCTCATGCATGAATGGTTCCTCAAAAAACAGTTCAGTCCAACAGGAAGAAGAGGCTCCTCCACCACCATAGCTAGAAACGCTGCATCCATCTCCAGGATTGCTTATCGACACCTCGCTTATTGGCAGAGTGCCTGAAGAAGTTGGAGATGGAAGAAGCCATGGAGAGTTTGGTGGTTTATCATCTTCATGGCTGATCATTGCAGTGTTAATACCACTAGTCAAAGGTGTTTGGAAACAGAAAGGGACTTGTGGGTCTGACACTGGAATATTCAATGAGGTGATGATGGGATTGTTGTGGTGGAGTGGTTGAGAAGAAGTTGCATTTTCAATGGAAAATAGTGCTTGATTTTGCAATACTTGGGTTGAATAACTTGAATTTAGAACTGGGTTTTGCTTCAATGGAGGAATTGAATTCCATAAACTGAGAGCATCAATGTGATCTGTAATGCTGTTTTGGCTATATGGGCTTGAAGTTACTGATGATGAGTCTGCAAATTGGAGAAGATGTTGTAGGTATTGAAGGTTGGCCAATTGATCAGCTCCTAACAAGGGTTGGTTTATGAGGTCCTTAAGGTTAGCCATGGCTATTAGATGAGGCAAGTTTGCAAAAATATCGGCTCTTGGTTGATGAGTCATTGGATCAAAACCCATTTGAATCAGCTTCTTCTTCAAATGTGTGTTCCAGAAATTCTTGATTTCATTGTCTGTCCTCCCTGGTAGATGCGTCGCAATTGCTGACCATCTTGTGAAAATAAAAATTAGTAAATTTCATTAAGCAAACACATTTGAAGAGTACATAATTACATCACAAAAAAATATCGACAATGTGCATATCATTACCACAATGAGACGGAAATTTATACATTAGTTTTGGAGTATCACGTGATCATACTCCTTCACCAATCACTATTTATTATACCCTCTCATATTCCTCAATCATCTAATACAAATAATCAAGGACCTGACTCGGCATTGGCTGGCCTTAATTCGGGTCTATGTCAATAATTCAAACCGTTCAATGTGTAGAACCCGGTAAATACATCATTCCTGTAAAAAAAACTATGTTGATTGGATATCGATAATCACTTGATCAGATCGCATTTTCAAATATAATTTTTGAAATAAATTGCTATAGAAATATGATCTGATCAACTAGTTATCAATATCCAATTAACAAGATTTTATACAGGGATAATATACTCAACGAGTTATATATATTGAACAATTTGGATGATCGACATAGGCCTGGATTAAGGCCCACCAATGCCGAACTCTCCTTTACTGGAGAGGCGCCAAGTCCAATACATACTTTATCTTCTCTACCAATCATATTACCATAGAGTACCAGATGACCCTACTCTACCTGAATGAGACCCAATTTTGTTGAAAATAATGATAAAAGTGGCTTTATTATGGTGACATGGACTGTCTTAATATGCGTACATACAGAATGATGTAGTATTTGTATTTGTTTCATTTCAAATCAAAACAGATTAGGCAGGTTTGGTTTTCAAAACATGTGTTTGAAAAAAAAAAAATTAAAATTAAAAACATGTTTGGTTGAAAATTAAAAAAAAATAAAAATTCAAAATCACTTTTATCTCTACTACACGTTAATCATTACTTTTTCTCTCTCCTTCCATTCTTAATTACTTTTTCTCTCACACGTATTTATTTAACTACAAACAAAAAAAAATAAAAATTAAAGCATTCAAAACTTCAAAACTATTTTTAAAATATACAACCAAATAAATTTTAAAATTTTTTAAACTCTCTTTAGAAAATTATTTTTGAAATAATGTCTTAAAACACAAACCAAACAAGGCCTCAATATTTTTTATTCATAATTTTGAAAATCTCACTACTACATTTTTTAAGAAGAGTTGTTTTGAATTTAGTTTGTGAATTATTTTTCCTTATTTTATTTATTTATTTGTAATTTATGTGTAAGAAGAAGTTTATTAATGAAAACAAAAGGTTTAGAAGTACTTGTTTCCAAGGATGGAATGGAAATGCAGAATGGTTTGCTCTTCTTCTTGAGAAAACTTTCCTCTCTTGATGTCAGGCCTCAAATAATTAGTCCATCTTAACCTACAGCTCTTTCCACATCTGTTAAGGCCTACAAAGGTACACAAAAGTAATTGAGTAAATATCCATGGGCATGACAGTCTTTTTAACTTGTGCATGCTTGTGTGTGTGTGTGTGTGTTTGTGAATGAGAAGTGAGTTTCTTTTTGTTATTGGAGATGATTATTGTACCTGCTAGCTTAGGAAAAGCACTCCAACTTCCAAGACCATGTTTTTGGATACAGTCTACAAGCTTCTGATCTTCCTCAGGTGTCCATGGTCCTTTCTTGAGCTCATATTTCTCATCACAAGAAGGGGACCTCCCCATCCTCTCTCTCTCTCAAATTCCTTCTTTTGAGTTGATTTGGATGCTTCCCTGTGCTCTACAACCAAATTAAACCCGAGCTTAGTCATGTATATATATCATAGCCGCCTAACATCTTGCCTCCTGGATTAATTCCAAGAAAAAATGATTGGACCACTTTCTCCAATTTCGCTATAATTTCAACACTTCAATGTGATTGGTTGATGTATATATATATATATATATGATATGGAGATGATTCTCTGCAGTTCATAATATGGACCGGAGAACGTTATTTAGGTCTAAAGAGTCCATCATTGATCTTATCTTAATAATTCGAATCATTTATTTTGACAATTACTTTGTATATGTCATCTATACATCGATCTAATAATCGTAACATTTCTAATTTATCTTATTTGTCACCAAAAAAAAAATAGATGATTTTTTTAAAATAATTGTCGTCTATTTTTTTAGTGAGAAACGCAAGAAATTGAATAAGTTAACATTATTAAGTCCTCGTTTGGTAAATATTTTGGGACTAAAAAAATATAAAAAGACAAAATAAGTTATATAAGTCAATAAGACAAAATCTATTTTGGGAAGTGAGTTAAAAGTCACATCCTAACTTTTAACTCACTTCCCTCTCACAAAAAACCCAAAAAAAAATCAAAACATAACTTTTAACCATCTTGTCAAAACACCTCAAATTGTTACATTCAAATCATAATCATTATATTTTTTCTTTTACAAAAGTCAAAAAAATCTAAAAATAAAAATCAAACGGGGCTAAAAAAGTCTTAACATAAAAAAATTGATTGCTATAGCCAAAGTCAAACGAAACTTAAATCTACAAAAAAAATTTAAATAAAATACACATAATATCTAACAAAATAAATAATTCAAATCATTAAAATGAGACTTAAGGGGTTGTTTGGGATGTTCTAAATAAGTACACTTTTTGACTTTTTATGAAATATGAGTTGAGTTTAAAATGATGTAGTAGAAAAGTGATGTGACTTAAATAAGATAATATGATTTAAATAGGACAATAACTTTTAAACTTTTTAATTTTTTAACCTTTTTTTAAAAATGTCAAACTTGACCTTATAATAGCCCTACAGACCTCAACATCACTCCCTAATCCAGATTATGAATAAGAGAGAATCGCCCTCCATATAATATGTATTGATTGATTTCTGACTCTTATTGACTTTTAAATCACGTGTAAAAAAATTTGAAAACATTGTACATTTATAATTATCTTCAATTTTCTTGGCATGTATTCCTTTCTTTTTTTTCTTTTCTTTTTTTATGAGCAAAATTCTTAACATGTATTTAATAAATTAAAAAAATCCTTGATTAAAATAGTGATATTCAATATTTTGTATTGATATATTTTTAAAAATTATGATTAATTACAATTAGTACTGGTGCAATTTCACCCCAAAAAAAAATAAAATAAAAATTATGTAAACTTAAATCAAATTCTTTTTTTATATTTTTATCTATTTGACATTAATAAGATTGACAGAACTATTCAGGTGAGATATCAAAAATTATCAAAATCTCACTTTAATTTTGACACTTTTATTAAAATATTATTTTATTCTTTTCATTTTTAATTTATATTAAAGTGGGTCGATAAAATATTAAGATAGGAAACTGTAAAGTATGAGAGAGTTAACTTATTTAAAAATTTAATATTATAAAGGGATTTATACATTAGTGGGGAAGACAAAAATATTTACAAAAGAAGTGAAAAAAAATTGTGATTTGCATTACTAATATTTATAATATTTATCACTTTTTTATAAATATTTTTTTATATATTTCCACTTATGTATAATTCTCCCATTACTACATCTAGAAGAAGACGACCCAAGGAAAGACTTGGTCCCATTGTGAAGATTATACTACTAATACTATTGGAAGAACACAGAAGAGGATGAGAGAGAGCCTTGGTCCCATTGTGAAAATTATACTACTATTTAGTTGGAAGAAAACAGAAAAGATGAGAGAGAGAGAGAGAGAGAGAGAGAGAGAGAGAGAGGGAACGGTTGGTGTAGCGAACGTCCCAAATCTTCACCAGTTTTTTGGAAATCAAAATACTGACATCATTTTTAAATTTAAGTTTCAAAAATGATTGAGACCTCTGTATGATTGGATTGAGTGATTTAGAGAAAAAAAAATAAAATAAAGAGATATATATTTATCTTACTTGTTTGGATAATTTAGTGGAGAGAAATTAAGAGAAATGAAAAGAAACGGAGAGATTATAACCCTCATTTTCAATCTTTTCAAAAGTGAAGAGATTGGGAAAGAAAAGAAACCAATAGATTCTTATACTTTCATAATACTAATTTTGTCCATGTAAAAATAAAAGAAATAAAATGATTGACAATATAAAAAGGTTACTTTAGTAATATAACATAAAATAATTTCTTTTCTTTTCTCTTATGAAATCTAACCAAATAAGAAGGAGAAATCACAATAATTTCTTTTCTTTTATTTCTTATTTATCCAAACAAGAATGAGAAAAATCACAATCATTTCATTTCATTTCTTTTTTCTTATAACTTAAGTAATCATTTCTTTTCTTTTATCTTCTACGTTCCCAAACATAGTGTATATGAAGAGCTCTAGAGGTGGGCTCCACCTTGTGATTTGATGTTTTGGTTTGAGATGTTGCATTTTTTTAAAAAAAATTATTTTTTATTTTTATCTATTGCCACATCACTAGAGTTGGCATTAGAATTTTAACTCTAGTGCTTTCTATCATCACTCTTTAAGTTTAATGCAGATTCGCTCATAACATTTTAAAAAGAATATGTATAAATTAATTTTATATAATAAATTTTTAAATAGAATAATATGACATCATATAGTTAAAAATATATCAATCAATATCCTTGTAAGTTTATATTGACATATCATTTTTGTCCTAACAAATTTTGTAAAGATTTTTTTTTATAAGCATATTATTATGCTTTTGAAAATTATGCTAACATCATGTATCAATGCTTATCACTTTACACTCGAGAAACAAAAGAGATCTCTAAATATAATTCCTAAATTAACCCTAGTGGGGTGTGGGCTGTGAAGGATTAAAGTGTGGAAGTCCTTCAAAGATTACCTAATCAAGACTATTAAGTATAAAATAATGATTAAGGAAATCAAAAATAAAGCTTATATAAGGGACATGCTCCAAATGTCATCCAACTCCATTTCAGAATCAATTGTTATGCGTGCATATAATTTGATGATAGAATTGAACATAATATTTTTCTATAAAGTGGAATTCATCTATTTAAAAAGGTCCACCTCAGTAAGGTCAAGTTTGACATATTATAAAAAAATTAAAAAATTAAAAAGTTACTCAAAAATTTAAAAAGTTAACACTATTCACCAAAAGTCAACAATTACGGCTGCACAACTCTCAACCTAATTTTTCCATACAAATCAATTTTTACAATTTTTTATTACAAATTTTTTCATAAAAAGTCAAAAAGTTAACCCAAACATCCATATTTTCTTCCTCAACTTTTTAGTCCAAAAAGACAAAAAGTGCACTTATTTAGAACACTCCAAATAACCCCTAAATAAGTGAGGTTGTCATTGTGGTTATTTTGTCCAAAATAACAAACACAGCCTAGCGGATTCGTTCCTTTGCAATTTCTTGGAGTACTTTGAGGGTATAGTAAATATTAAAAACCTCAAAATAAATTCAAAAATACAAAATGTTTATCCCAAAATAAAATAGAAGCAGAGAATTAAGTAAAATCTCAATTTAATTTAATCATAAATTGAGTACAAACTTTAATAAAATAATGATAGAGTTGTAAATTTTAAAGTTACAAAATAAGTTTTAAGTAAACATTTGAGTTTGTTCTGATTTTGTATGTTAAAAAAAAAAAAAAAAAAAAAAAATAAAAAATCAATTTAAGGAGTGGAGAAGTTTTTGAGTGCTTTTCATATAAATTTAAATTCAATATACATTTGAATTAAATGCTTTTTATCTAAATTTAAATTCAATATACATTTGAATTAAAGGTTGAAAACAAGGGCGGTCCATTCATTAGACCAAATAGACAATTGCCTAAGAGCATCTCTAATGGTTCACTAGAATTTTTATCAAATTTGAATTAAAAAATGAAAAAATTTCTCTATTTAATATCGCTTGCTTCAATGGAAGAATTTGAGTTTTCATCAAACCACCGATTAACTGGGCGGACGACTGGTTGGTCGACCGGTCAATGCAAAAAAAGAAGAAGAAAACAACGGTATAAGCAAAGAAGAGATGGTGGATGAATTCATGGTGTGTGTTGATAGGTTAATAGCATCAACATCCTTTGAGTCTGTCAATGAGAGAGAACAATTCTTGAGAGGTGCTAGTGGTGCTAGTGATGGTGGTGAAGCAGTGATTGATAATGATTTGTTGTCCTCTGTTAATAATAGTGTATTGGTCTTTGTTAAGAACAACAATGATAAAGGTGTGGGTTGTTCAGAAAATGTTGTGAGAGTGTAGGATTTGTCAAGAGGAAGATGAAGAGCATCAGATTGAGTCTTCTTATGCCTGCAATGGCACTCTCAAGGTTCATTCAATTTTTTTTTCTGGGCTTTCTCTCTTCTTTTTTTTCCTTCTCTTTTCTTAAATTTCCCTTTTTTGATTCACATGTCTATCCTAAGTTTACCCCATTTCTATTAGCTTCCCCACCCCCACCACAAGAACCCATCAATCATGTCATCAGGTGCAAAGAAGAGAAAAAGTGTCAAGAAGAAAGCAACAAAAAGAGGAGGCCAACAAGGACAAAAACAACTCAACAATTCATTGTTGGTGGTGACCTTTCAGTGTAAAAAATTTTACTTGAGGTGGTTATCCAGGAGGACGTCCTGCCGGATGTCTGTCCGGTCGTCCGGTCCACACTTAACGGTTATACACAGTAAATTATTGAAAGGTGCAAGCGATTTTCAGTTTGGTAAAACGTTTGATATTTTCTCAATTTAATACCGTTTTGGTGAAACCGTTAGAACGCAAAAGTACATTTTTTCCACCAAATTTAAATTTGATGATGAATTTAGTAAACGGTTGGAGATAGTCTAAGGCCTCATATTTAAGAAAGTTCCCAAAATTTAAAGACTTTTAATTATATATATTGTTCTATTAAGCAAAG